GTGTCTCTTTACCTTCCCCCACCCCATTTCTTATAAGACTTCTCACTTAAGCTCTGTCCGCCTGGTGTGCTTGTTGCCCCCCCTCGCCTGCCATGGAACCCGCCATGGTTCCCCTCAAGCTTTATCCTAACCCTGGTCTGTGTCACCAACCCGGTCTAATTTTCTTTCTTTCTCTCCCACCCCCCTCTCTTTTTCTTTCTTTCTGTTTGGTTGTTTTGTTTTCCCAGCCAGGGTTTCTTTGTGTAGCCCTGGCTGTCCTAGAATTCACTCTGTAGACCAGGCTGGCCTCGAACTCACAGAGATCTGCCTGTTTCTGCCTCCCGAGTGCTGGGATTAAAGGTGTGCGCCACCGCTGGGCTTTTTTTCTTTTTCTTTTTCTTTTTCTTTTCTTTTCTTTTCTTTTCTTTTTTTTTTTTTTTTTTTTTTTTTTTTTTTTGTTTTGTTTTGTTTTGTTTTGTAAAATTTCCAATATCTCTCTCTCTGATTCCGGCTGACCTGGAACTCACTCATAGCCTCAGCTCCCTTCAAAATTGCAGCAATCCTCAGCCTCAGGCTGTCCTAGGCAAGGATTTTGGGTCTGTGTTATCCCAGTCAACTGAGACATGTAAATTAACCTACCCTCCCAGGGTTCCAAGGAGTCAACAGTCCTGGAGGTGGGGCCAGGAAATTGTTTTAACTAACTCAGACCAGTCATTAAGGCCCTACAGATTATGTAGATCTGATTGAAAAGGATAGATTTACCTTATGCTATGAACTCCAGACACAGGGGCGACTGAGCTCTCCGATCTCCATTTAAAATTTCAGGAAAGAGGTGAGTCTTCCAAGATGTGTCGTTTCCTTCATCGTACCTTTTTTCAACTACTAAAGCATTTATTTTGGGGGCCGGGTGGAGATGGGGCAAGCATGCATGGAGGTCAAGCTTGTTTGCGGGAGTCATGGCTTTTCTTCTGGCCCATGGGTCTTGGGGATCGAATTCAGTCATCAATCTTGAAAAAAATCACAATGAGCCATCACACCCGCCCACCTTTTAATTTCAAAAATTATTTATTTTATGTTCATGGGCTCTTTGTGCGTATCTGCGCACCGCGCATGTGCCTGGTGCCAGCATAGGCCAGTAGAGGGTATTGGATCCCCCTGGGACTGGGAGGCAGAGTCGACTTGTGGGCACTGGGACTCGAACCTCCATAGGTAGCCAAGGCTGGCCTTCAACAGGAGGGACAGCTCTGGGCCACCACGGCTAGTTTAAGCTTTTGGAAGGGAAGGGGAGGTAGAGTTTCTCTGTGTAACAGTCCAGGCTGTCCCAGAACTGGGCTCGAACTCACAGAGATCCCTCTGTTTCTGCACCACGACCCCATCCCCACCCCACCCCCCCAGTGCTGAAATTAAAGGTGGTGCACACTATCATCTCCCGACCAAGGTTTTTTGTTTTTTGTTTTAATGAGAATGGGTCTTTCTTTGGACAGCTGGCCCCTACTGAACTCATAACAGTCCTCCCCTGCCTTAGCTCTTCAAGAGCTGGAATTACAAGCCTGTGTGATTCTTCCTGTCTGGTCAAATTACTCAACTTTAGTATACTTGGAATCTTGATAGATGGGTGATTGACTGATAGTGATAGATAGACAGATGATGCAATAAAAAGATAAAAGAATATGTGAGAGGAAGGCAGGACAAAGGGAAATAAAACGGGAAAACAAGTATGAATGTCTTGATTTTGTTTTTTAAAATTAATATTTTTCCTGCCCTTTGATTTTGCTTTAATATGTTGCTGGTTGGTAGGAGATTTTTATCATGATTCCCCTCCCCCAAGTATTCCAAAATACTGTTTTTAAGGATGGATGTGGTGGCATACTTAATCCCAACACTCAGAAAACAAACAGGAGGAAGTATGAGTTCCACACAAGTTTGGTCTACATAGCAAGTTTCCTGATAACCAGGACTACATAGAGAACTTCTGTGTCTCTGTGTATGCTGTTTTTATAAGACATGCTCCCCTCTAGCCATAGTTCTCCAGACATCTGCCTGCTCCAGCCTCCCAAATCCTAGGATTAAAGACAAATGGCATCACATGTCTCAAATATTTTTGAAATATTGAGTGCCTAATATAATATGCCAGGCCTTAGTCACTTTTTTTTTTTTTTTTTTTTTTTTTTTTTTTGAATAGTGTATGGTTTCTCTCTTTTTCACAGCTATTCCGGTTATGGTTTGTCAGAAAACTTGTTTCTTGGTGTCTTCTTGGGGTTCTGTCTTTAACAATGGATGGGTTTGGTTGTTAGCTTGAAATCTGACCTCACTCAGGTATGCATTTAGGAAAACAGGAGACTGTTATAAGACTATTTCCAGGTCATTGTTTGTTTGGTTGTTGTTTTGTTTTTGCATTCTTGTTTTAAACTTTATTCATTTGCTTATCTAATAAGTAGTGAGGTTTAAGTTCAAGGCTTTGGACATGCTAGGCAAATGTTCTACCATTGAGTCATGTCCTCATTCTCTCTCTCTCTCTTTCTCTCTCTCTCTCTCTCTCTCTCTCTCTCTGCCATTTTGGTAGAAAGTCCCACACAGGTTCATCTTGTATTCATTCTGGAATTCAGGTAAGCCTCGGTTTATGATCCTGTCCTGTCCTCCCAAATAGCTGAAGTCCTGTGTTTCTCACCTAGCTGTTTTGTCATTTGAATTCTTCTTTTCTGCATACATAATTGTGAAGCAGAATACATTAGACATTTGGAAATGGACTCTAAGTTTGCAGTCCTTCCAAACTGTAACATTTCAAATTCCTGCCTTTACACCAAAAGTACTGGAATTAAAGGAGTGTGCCACCACTGCCTAGCTACATTTAGAGATTTTTATTTGTTTGTTTGTTTGTTTTTGTTTTTTGAGACAGGGTTTCTCTGTGGCCTTGGAAGCTGTCCTGGAACTAGCTCTTGTAGACCAGGCTGGCCTCAAACTCACAGATCCACCTACCTCTTCCTCCCTAGTGCTGGGACCAACCCCACCCAGCTTTTTCTTAATAATCCTATGTTTACTTCCTGTTAACTGGGTGCTTATTTAGTCTCTGGACCTATGGTTGACTATTTAACTCTGTTTATGATACCCAAGCAGAAGGCCCTTAAAGGTGTATGTTAGGACTGAGCCATACCACAGCTAGAAACATTTTTTTTCCATTAAATAATGTCATCTGGGTCAGATGTCATCAGAGTCCTCTAATAGTTCAGATTTTGGGTGGGCATGTGTTACCATGCCCAATGTAATAGCTTAGTCTTCAAGAAAACAGAAGGTTTTTTCTTTTTTCCTTTTGGAGTGATAATATTGAACCCAGGGCCTCAAACGTGCTAAGCAAGCACTCATCGACTGGGCTGCACTGCCATCCCTTGTATATTAAGTAAAATAAACCTTTTTGAAGCTAGGACTACACAAGTGCATTCAGTAAAGACTCCTGGGACTGGTTACTACTAGCTTGTTGCTACTTAGTGATGAGTCACAGCCCATTTATTAGTCATCAAAAAAGTTTTGTTTTTTTTTTTTAAATCTCTGTAGCTGGGCATGATGGTGCCTTTAATCCCAGCACACTCAGGATGCAGAGGTGCAAGGCAAGACCCTGTCTCAAAAAAGAAAGAGAAAGGGAAGAAAGAGCAAAAAGAAAAGACAAGACAACTAAGTACAATATTTAAGAAATTTATGTATGTGTTAGTTGTTTGAGCACTGGCTAGGCTGGAGCTTACTATGTAGACCAGGCTGCCCTCAGACTCCTACATAGCAGCCTGCGTCTGTGTCCAGAATACCAGGGTCCACAGTGTTCACTGTTTCACATGGTTTATTTCATCTCTTAATTGTGTGCATGCATGCATGCATGGTGGGGTGCAGGTACCTGGATGTAACACTAAGAACTGTTGGATCCCTTGAGGCTGGAGTCGCTGTCCTTTGTGAACTCCAGTCCTCTAGTCCTCTACAGTTGCAGTACATGTTCTTAACCTCTGAGTCATCTCTCTTGACCAACAAGATATTCTTTAAGAATATATGTACTGAGGCAGGTGAATCTCCAGCAGGTGAGTTTCAGGCCAGCCTGATCTACAGAGTAAGTTCCAAGACAGTAAGTTCCATTTCTATGCAGAGAAATACTGTTTCAAAAACAAAAAAAATATGAATATTATCAAAATATATGCTTAATATGTAGTACACTTAATATTATAAAATAGTGTGCTAAACATTAGAAATAGAATGCTTAAGCATTGTGAAAATATATTTTGTCTTAAACATTAATTCAAATAGAGGATAGCCTGGTGTGGTTCTTGGCTCCTACCTATAATCCCATCTCCCTGGGGACGAAAGGGTAAAGGTTAGTACACTCTGGGTTCTAGATGTGGTTAGTACACTCTGGGTTCTAGATGTGACACGTAAACCATCACAGTCACTGTCACATTTTGTTTGTCCCTGCATGAGTGTGTGTGTGTGTGTGTGTGGTTTCTCTTTTATGGTGAGTTCTAGGGTCAGGCAAGGTAGGACAACATTGTTACAAATTCTCAGGCTAGGTGCACCTGTACAAGCCTAAACACAAATGGCTCCTTACCCTTGGTACCCAGGCACCTCTCCTTTAAGAGGCACTGGGAGAGTCCACAGATGCCTGTCTCTCTTGGTGCTGGGATAGTGAATACAGTGGTACTTAGTGTGTAACTCAGTTGAGATCTTATGTTCCTCTCCATCGTATTCACATCTTGCCTCCTGTTGACTTCAAAGGAAATGTGCTCTGCTGTTGCTTCCAGTTAATCTTCAAACTATTGCTAGATTGTCAGAAGACCTGAGCCTATCTGAACAGGAATACTGCCATAAGTCAATCTCTTTCTCAGCACTTCATGACTAAAAAGCTAGCCGGATTCTGCTCCACTGACATTGCCAAGTGGGCTTGCTTCGGATCACAAAAAGCTTCACCTTGTCTCCTCCCTTTCATCGGCAGGGAAGAAGTCACCATTAGAAACAAGCAGACCAGTATTCATAAGGCAGCACTGACCAGAATGTCCCAAGTGCCCAAGTCCCCATCACTGTGCAGCATCTCAGAGGAGGTCTACTGTGGAACACACCTGCAGCCCCTACAGCTCTTCTGTGAAGATGACCAAATCACAGTTTGCAGCAAATGTGTCCAGTCTCCAGAGCACATGCAGCATGTGGTGTATGGAATACAGGAGGCTTCCGAGTATTATAGGGTAAGGGAAATCCAAAGGAGTCTGGCTAACTCTTGATTGCTTGTTTCCTTGCTTGCTTGCTTGATTGATTGATTGATTGATTGGTTGGTTGGTTGGTTGGTTGGTTGGTTGGTTGATTGAACAAACAGATAAGTACTTGTTCTCCAGAAACAATCCCTGGGAGTTGATTAAGAAATACCACAATAGCCAGACTTTGGTGGCAAATGCCTTTAGTCCCAGCATTCAAGGCAGAGTCAGGTGGATCTCTTGTGAGTTCGAGGCCAGCCTGGTCCACAGACCTAGTTCTAGTACAGGCTCCAAAGCAATACAGAGAGAGACCCTGTCTCGAAAAACAAAAAGAAAAAAAAGGAAAAATACCACAATAGCCAGGCTGTGGTGCAACACTTGTTTAGTCCCAGCACTTGGGAGGCAGAAGCAGGCAGATCTCTCTGAGTTCGAGGCCTGCCTGGTCTACAAGAGCTAGTTCCAGGACAGGCTCCAAAGATAAAGAGAAACCCTGTCTCAGAAAACTTAAAAAAGAGAGAGAGAGAGAAAGGAAGAAAGGAAGGGAGGGAGGGAGGAAGAAAGAAAAAGCACCCTCAGGTCGCAGGTTAGTGGTGGTACTCCTCGGGTCAGCAGTCAGATGTCTGTGAGTTCCAGGACACCCAGGATTACACAGAGAAAGTTGGGCACATGCAGGGATATCCTGTTCTCATACAAGGAACTTACCTGTAATTCCATGATCTGTTTCTCTGTAGAAGTTACTCCAGGAAACACTGGTTATGATGAGGGGAAAGCTGGAAGCAACTAAAAGCTTACTGGCTGACGAGCAAGAGAGAATGGCGATGATTCAGGTGAGGTTTGTCCTGCTTCTGACGAGAGGGAACCTATCAATAATGACAGAAATTAGGTACTACAGTATCAACAAACTAAAAAAGATGGTGGAGCAGGAGAAAGTATTTGGAATCCATAAAGGGAAGGAGGATAATTTCTTTAAGATTTAGTTTTTAATAAAATAATTAATGCATTTAAAAGCACAATGAACCATCAAGAAATTGTGGCTCTTTTAATTAAATAATTCTTCACCATATCCTACTCAAGTGATAATATTAAACATATAAAATCAAAGTCACAAAATTTTGATGTTTCATTTGTGTACTTAATAAAGTAAGGACACAGGGACACAGCTAAGTACATAGAAGTCTTGGATAAGCACTTAAGAGATTAGGGTTCAGGTCATGACTGCATGTAGGTAGCTCTGTGACCCCTTCTGCACATCACACTGTTGTACTTCTCAGTTCCTGTTTCACGGCAAACACCTGTCAGTCAACTGTTTACAACACTAAGTAGTACTATCAGTACTGTCAGTATACTGTTTAATGGTATAAAATGCATAATGTAAGTTAGTCCCCTTAAAGATCTATTTTTATCTTTGTCATATTTAAAGATTTATTTACAAATATGTTTGATCATATAAGTTTGGTTTCAAAGGAGGTCAAAAGTTGGCATGAGTCCCCTAGAGTCATAGTCATAGGCAGTTGTGAGCCTCCTGGTATGGGTGTTGAAAACTAAACTCTGGTCCTCTACAAGAATAGCAAGTGCTCTTAACCACTGAGCCATCTCTCTATCCAGAAGACTCATTTCTTGATAAAGAATTCTCCTAAATGAGAAAAAGAGAGAGAAGAAAAAAACTCAATTTTAAAAATGACCAAAGAAACAAGTTCACAGAAAAGAAAGTGTAAATAATCTTTTCTTGTGTGTTAGAAATAAATCCTCCTGACTTCTTAGTTTAAATTTTTGCTTGTTTTGTTTTGTAAATATAAATTAAACAAAAGTAACTAATGGTGACATAGAGCTGTAGCTCCCAAAGTTGGGAGGGTAAAGCCTGAAAGCTTGAATTTACATGGTGACTTCCAGGCTAACCTAAGCTGATTTAGTGTCCTAAAGGAAATTGTTCCAAAAAACAACCAAAAAAAAAAAAAAAAATTACAACACACACATACACACAGAGAGCACCTTGGGCAGGGGTGGTGTGGCTCAATGGGTAAAGTGTTTGCCCTAGTGCACATAACGCCCTAGGCATGGTAGTAATGTCTGCAATCCCAAGGGCTAGGGAGGTGGAGGCAGAAGGTCAGAAAGACCAAGGTCATCCTCAGCTAAAAGCAAGTTTGAGGCCAGACTTTATCTCAAAATCAGAACAAAAACCATAATGTGTTTGTTAGAATTTTCTCATGTACGATAACACTCCTGATCTCTTTAACCAAGAGCCATCGTTTTTCTTAGCTTGTTTGGTTTTTGAGACAAACTTCAGTGAGGACCTCATACTGGTCTCAAACACTGCATTCCCCTGCCTCAGCCTAAACTGCCTTAAATCTATAGACCACACTTAGCCTCGCTGTGCTTCCCTGACTTCGTGAAGTCAATGGGAATTTTTCTATCCACACAGTTGAGTTTATGTTTTTCTTGATATCTTGAATCTTAATGGAATCCCCTCTGTGGTTGTGACGTGGTTAAAGGAGGTTCACAACTGTTGATGTTTATCCTGTTTAACCTGGAATCTGTAACATCTGTTTCTGAGGAAGGAAGAAGAACAGAGGTTTAAAGAGATGATTGGGGCTGAGTATAAGATGAGAGTCCTGTTACTGACTGAACAGATGGCGCTGCCCTCTCTGAGACCATCAGCCTGCACATTTGATCCAGATTTGGAAGAAGCCTGTGCGAACCAGCTGAGGACGTTTAGTACTGAGCTCAAGTACAAGTCACAGGAAATGTTACAGGTGAGAAAATATTCCAAAAGTTATAGCTAAGCAGTGTATGTATTACCAAATAAGTTATTCAGACACAGCCACATGTGTGCAGAGTGTATGTATGTTCTCACCTGCAATTCTTTTATGTCTCCATCCAAACACACCCACAAATAGAGAAGCAAGAAAGGTAAAATAGACCCTGCGTTATTGTATATATTCATTATCTCATATTACAATGCCAATATACTTGCACCCATTGAAAGACACATGTCTAAGATTGTGGTGATGTATTTCTCATGATCTAATAAAGCTATCCTGCAGATCAGAATGCATAGAGGCCAGACAGTGGTGCCACAAACCTTTAATCCCAGCAGCCACACTAGTTAGCCATAGAAGCTGGGTGGTGTCAGTGCACAACTTTAATCCGGGGATTTAGGAGACAGAGGCAGATGGATTTCTGTGAGTTCAAGGTCACCCTGGCCGTACCAGAGTGAATCGGTCTAAAAAGAGTCTCCAACCACTTTGAGGACAGGATCACCCTTTCAGCCTGAGGTAGAGTTAAGAGCTAGTAGCTTTGCTTTTCTGATCTTCAGCTTGAACCCCAATGTCTGGGTTTTGTTGTTGTTGTTGGGGTTTTTTTGTTTGTTTGTTTGTTTTTTGTTTTTTTTTTTATTCCTATTACATAAGATAGCACTAATATTGTTTCTGTCTGGAGCCACACTGATAGTTAACCTCAGAAGGCAGGTTTCTGGAACTTTTATTTGAGTTCTAGTAGTTACTAACCTTTAGGTAAACTTAGGCCTGTGCAGCTCAATGTCTAACCCAGTTTCTTTGGCTGTGAAATGGAAAGTGCAGTGGTCTCTAATTCATAATGCTGATGCAAGTTTTGGCTGAGATAATCCACAGAGAGCCCTTAGATAGTGCATAGTACACTTTAAGCCATCCATAAATAGCAGGCACTGTTATTACCATTGTGATCTTTAATGACAACAGGAGAGTAAATGTAACCTATAGCCTTCTATGTGAGCCTTACAGCATGAACTAGGAGGCAGCTGTACTAGGGAATGCTACTTGATATGAGGCAGGGAAAGCAATACTCTAAGTATCAGGGAGGAGTTCTCCAAGAGAGAAACAAGTTGCCAGATGAGAAATACAATGTAATGTAATGTTTTTTTCTTATGAGGATAAAAAAGAAAACCAGTCATCAGTAGCCTAATTATATAAACATCTCCACCAATTATTGATTAAGATGTAAGTTTTAATATTTGATTTTGAGTAGCCAGGCATTGTGGTACACACCTTTAATCCCAGTACTTGGTGGACAGAGTCAGTCAGATCTCTGAGTTTGAGACCAGCCTGTTATACACAGTGTGTTGCAGGACAGCAGGGGCTATGCAAAAGGATCCTGTCCTTAAAAAAACAAACCCCCCCAAAAGAACAAACAATGTGTTTAAGACTACCTCATTCTGTAGCCCTAGCTGGCCTGGAACTTGCTGTGTAAACAGGCCAGCCTTAAACTGACAGAAAGACACCTGCCTCTGTCCCTGAATTAAAGTGATACCATGCCCTTACTTACAATTTTAGGTAGTGGTGAGACATTGAACTTCTGTTACACCAGAAAAAATGTGGTATGTTTTGGGTACCATATTTGTTAATCCGAGTAAGCAGATTACATGGACAAATCCCAATTTTTAGCAAGTTGAACAATGGGTGAGATTCCATTTATTTTTTTATTTAGAAATGAAATTTCACTCTGTAGTACAGGTGGGCCTGAGTCCAAGATCTTCCTACCTCTTGTCTCCGCCTCCCAAGTATCCAGATTACTTGGCAGATTACAGATTGTGCTGCCACCTTCCCCTGCTTGGGATTCTATTGAAAGGCACCCTGTTTCACCGAGAAGCATGCCTTACCTGATTGTGTAGCCTGGGAGGAAAGCAGGTTTACAGGACAAGGTAGAATTAGTAAATAAAAAAAGGTACAAATGGATGAATGGTAATAAGGACATGCATCTACAGAGACTTAGCCATCTGGGAAGAGAGAACATGAACAAACTGAAAACGAGTGAAGCCTGTGCTTACAAGTACCTCTGCAGGCTCCAGGAGACCATCACGGAGCTGGAGAAGAAGTGTGGGGAATCTGCCATAACATTGCTCCAAGTAAGCCTTCCTGACAGCATTTGGGAATGGAAGAGGAGCGCGGAACTCATTAAGGGTCTCTTCCAGAATGCCAGTGAGCTTCAACCTAATGTGAACCTAGGCAGCATTGTCCACCTGCAAAATGAATACTGTTGGTAGGAATGTAGATCAGTACAGTCTTATGGAGAACAGCGCTGAGCTTTCTCAGTCCCACTTCGAGCATATGTGTGACGGAAATGAAATTAGTGTGCCAAAAAAACTTCTACAGTGCTAGGAATGGATAAATGTGATGCAAATAAATGCCTCATATGTGGATCGTTATGTTAAGTGTAAGTTAAGCATAGAAAGGACCTAAGATTCCCATTTATATGTAGAACTTAAATTGATGTCATAGAAGTTGGCAAAGGATGATTAACAAAGAGGGGAAAGCTGGAAAGGGAGATAGCAAGGGAGGTTGACTGGGTATTGAAAGATAACAGGGGTAAGCTTGAGTGTTTTACTATATGAGAATGTGACAAAAGATGATGATAATATATTCTATTTCTTTTTATAAAAATAAATCCTTTGAAACTAGTGGATCTCTGAATTCAGACCAGTCTGGTCTACATAGCTAGTGCCAGGCCAGCAAAAGCTACACAGTGAGACTTTATTTAAAAGGCCTTTGAGAATTCAATACAATGTGTCTTGATTATATGCATGGCCCCCAAACACTTTACAGGTCCACCTTTCCCATTGGACCTTGTATTTCTTATTGTTTTAAATCCTTCAAGATCAGTGGGTGCTGCCCAAATATTTTTTTTAATGCGTTCTTCCTTTGGAGAGCAGTTGCCTTACCAGGGGCTACACTGATAAAGAAAACTGTCTCCGCCTCTCCCAGCAACCAGTAGTTTCTAATAACTTCTAGACTTGCTGGGACTTGGTCTAGTTTGGGCTTGCAAGATTTTGTGGATGCTGTCACAACTGTGAGTTCACATCTGTAACTGGCATTCTGTGTGCAGAAGATGTTTTCTTATAATCATTTCCCCCCTCTTTCAAATGGCTCTCTGTGTGTGTGTGTATGTGTGTGTGTGTGTGTGTGTGTGTGTGTGTGTGTGTGTGTGACAGTGTGACAGATGCTCCCTCTAGGCATGTTCCATAATGTTAGAATAGTGAATTTAGGTCAGTTTTACCATAAGACAAAGTAAGTTTGAAAGCCAGACATAGTAACTCATGCCTGTAATGCTAATGCTTTGAAGGATGAGGCAGGGGAATTTCTGTGAGTTGCAGGCTATCTAGGGTCGCAGCTGGACAGTGGTGGTGCACACCTTTAATCCCAGGACTCAGGAAGCAGAAGCAGGAGGATCTCAGGGCTACAGAGTGAGTTCCAGGACAGGCTCCAAAGCTATAAAGCTATACTGAGAAACCCTGTCTCAAAAAACAAACAAAACCTTGTCTCTGAGTGAAACGGTTTCCCCCACCCAATAAAATACTCTATGAGAAGAATAAAATATATCTCCAGACACTGACATTGTCTTTAAAATATCTCATTGAATGGGGAAGAAGTAATGCACAATGTCTTTCTGTTCATGTTTTAGGAAATAATTGATATGTAAATCTGTCCATGCATGTAAATATTCACAAATGCTATCAAAAGACAAAAGTTCTCTACAAAGTAATGACCAGTAACCTGGAAATGGGTGGGTGGGGGGATTGTGTAATATCTATTCATGTCTGCTCACATCTTTGCATACATTGAAGTTCTCATCTTGAGGGATAACGGTAATAACCATGTCTGGTGGTGCTCTCCTAAAAGATCTAAGATAGTGCCCTGGTTGGCTTCACCATGTGAGGGAAAGCTACCTCACTAGGACCACATCTGTGAATGATCAACCTCTAGAGTATGTGGTAAAAATTCCTATTGTAGCAAGCTATTCCAGTGAGGGTGTTTTAGTATAGCCTGTAAGTATTTACAATGTTATGTAGCAGCATGCATTGTCTTTTCAAGAAGCTAGCTACTAAAAACAATAGACAGTTAACATCTTTTCAATTCTATTGGTATTCCTCTGTCCTTCAGGCACTTATCTGAAAAGCTTGTGTGCTCATTCATTGTGTGTGTGTGTGTGTGTGTGTGTGTGTGTGTGTGGTAGTACTGGGAATTGAGCTACTAGGCAAACACCACTTAGCTGTAGACCTAACCCTAACTCATAATATTTAAAACATTTTAAAATAAGTAATTAATCAACCCACTGTGCAAAGCCTCTGTAGGTAACCCCTGAGGAAATAGTTCTATTCTAGAGCCTAGCCTATTTCCAGAAAACATGAGCAGATGTGACCCAGTTACATTCAGCTCCTGGATTAGCTCCAACTGCCCTCTTGGCCTAGTGACCCTCCATCTGCTCTTCCCAAGTCTTACTCTCCCAAAAACAAAAAGCAAATTCATGGGTAACATTTAAAAGATGATTGCTCTGAATAAGTCCCAGGGTGAGGGACAGGTGATGCTTCTCTCAGGAATAGAGGAAAATTATTTTTTTCTGGTGTGTGTGTGTGTGTGTGTGTGTGTGTTTAGAGAAAGTGAGAAAGAGCCTGACACTTTACTGAAGCCATGCACAAGTGCATACACATAGTGTTATACTCATAAGTGTGTTGGGCATGACTTATACATACATTGGCTCAAGAATCCAGTAGTAATCTTGTCTCTTTTCCCCCCATAGAATGCAAAGCACTGTTTAGAAAGGTGAGTTTCTGGAAACATTTGGACTGATGTCTTAGACATAAGAGAAATGAAAACGCTAGATAAAAGTTAATGAGGTCAGCCGGGTGGCATACACCTTTAAATCCAAGTACTGGGGAGGCAGAGGCAGGCGGTAGGCCAACATGGTCTACAGAGTAAGCTCTGGGACAGGCTCCAAAGCCACAAAGAAACCCTGTCTGGAAAAAACAAAAAAGAAAAAAAAGAGAGAATGAGATCCACCCTTTAAGAGAGACCAGGACTGAACTGACATTGTCCTCTTTTTTTTTTTTTTTTTTTTTTTTTTTTTTTTTTTAGGAGTGAGTGTCTATTGCTTCAGAGCCTAAAGCCAGCTCACATCACAGACCTGAGTTCATGCCTGTTAATAAAAATGGAGAAGGCACTATTAAGGCTCCAAAGTAAGTGGGCATATCCACAAATGCTGTTACACCCAATTTGTGTTTACAAATCACATGGTCATTTTCATCACCAACAAAATTCTGCCTATGCACATTTTTTAAGTTTTCTAGATGTTGTAGGCATTTGTATGGTGCTGGGGGATGAACACAAGCATGTGTGCTAAACACCTACTTTACCACTGAGTGACAGCTCCTACTGCATATTGTATGGATGTGTGGTGTTTACAGATTACTTTTCCTCAAACATGAAGTAAAGTTATTTTAGACTCTGTCTACTAGTAATTCGTTTATCTAACGCCCTCCCAATAATTGTAGTTTAAGTAATGTTCAGTTAATTAAAAGGGGGCTCATTTTAGCTAGTTACCCTCTGCACTAGTTTTGTGTTTTGTGAATGTGTATTTACTGGTTTTTAACAGTGAGAGTTTCTTTGTTCTTGAGATTGTATCTGTAGGAATACCTGAGGCTGAGAATAAAGGCTATCCCCTGTCCCCAGAAGGGATCTACATTGTTTTTTCTAGTCTTCTAGAGGTCTTAAGAACCTGTGAAAACTTGCAATTTACATTGAGTGGTGTGGTTGCTCTCATAATGCGAAGCAGACTGCCAGGGCAGGGGCTGAAGTCATTTTTCTTGCTGAAGTTAAGAGATGGAACTGGAAGAACCTTGTGCCAGTTAACCTCTGCATTGTTGTAATGAAACACCATGACCAGGAAAACTTATAGGAAGGAGTTTATTTGGAGCTTATGGTTTCAGGGGTTAGAATTTATGATGGCAGGGCAGAGGTGAGGAAGAAGCCTAGAGCATCACCTGAGAGCTGCCCTCAAAAACCACAAACACAAAGCAGTGTGAACAGCAGGATTCTTTGGACACTTCAGAATCCACCCCCAGTGACATACCTCCATCAGGAAAGCCACACCTCCTAATCCTTCCCCAAAAGTTTCACCAACTGAGGACCATGTGTTCAAACATAGAAGCCTATGGGGACCATTGCCATACTATAGACATACCATCTATTAGACTGAAGTAGTCTAACAAAAAGGATATAGATAATGGATACTACTTAGAAATCCACCTTGGAGAGGGATCAGTTGAAGTTCCGTTTCAAATTCCTATATTCTTTTTCTTTCTTCTGTTTTTTTTAAGACAAGAGTTTCTCTGTGTAGCCCTGGCTGCCCTGGAACTTACTCTGTAGACAAGGCTGGCCTTGAACTCACAGAGACCTGCCAGCCTCTGCTCAGATTAAAGACATGTGCCATCCCTGCCCAGCCCCATGTTATTTCTTACTAATGTTGGCATTTTATTTAAGGAGTAGGTCATGACTGTTCAGTAGGTATTTAAAACTGAGGCTAGGAGGTATCATGTGTGGGAGGAAATGCAAGTAGGAAAGACATTCTACATGTTCTAGCCTCTATTAGTTTGTTTTCCTGTGGTCCATGTAATACCTAGGGGCTGCCATCAGAAGTCTTGGGATATGTGTAACACTCAGTAGTTAAGTGGAAAAGTTCTCCATCCTGTACTACTAGCAAATACTGGTGCTTCTGGAAGCATCGTGTTTAGAAAAAAATCTCTAGGGGATGTGACTTGGATCTGAAGTGATATGTAGATGTTACTGGCTTTTAGCACAATTTTATAGACTTTGCACTGAAGATATACTACTAAATCTGTCCTCCTACTACCCTTTATTTGTTATTTTCTTACCCAGCAGACAACAGCCCTTTTCATTATTATATCAGCACAATTTCCCCCCATGTTTCCCATGTCTCTTTTTTCAGGGTTCTCCTAAGTTGCCTCTGTCCCTTGTTTGGAAGCTGATAAATGTTAGAAACCATTGCTCCAGCATAGTTCCTAAGATTAATTGAAGTTTTCTTCTTGTAGGAGATATAACTTTGGACCGGGGCACAGCTCATCCTTCCCTTGTCTTATCTGAGGACCTGAGAAGCATGGGATTTGGAGATCTACCACAGAGTGCTCCTGACACCCCAGGGAGGTTTGACTTCAGTGCTTCTGTGTTGGGTGCAGAGAGCTTCAGCTCAGGGAGGCATTACTGGGAAGTGGCAGTGGGACAGGCCACACAGTGGCAGTTGGGCATTTGTGACTGTACAGAGAAAAACAGCAACATACCCCAGGCTTCAGGAGATAAGTTCTTGCTCATGGGGTCCATGATGGGGACGGATTACACCTTCTGGGTCTTTCCCCCTTTAAGAAAGGTCTGTCTGAGAACACCAATGTACAAGGTTGGAGTCTTCCTTGACTATGTTTGTGGCCAGGTATCCTTCTACAATGTGACGGAGCAATCTCTTATTTATAATTTCTGTGACCTTACTTTCCAAGGAGCCGTTAAACCTATATTTTCTCTTTGTATTCCAAATGGAGACGTGAGTTCAGACTCTCTGACTGTCTGTCTCCCTCAAATCCATTCCTGAAATGCTGCTGTTAGCTCTTCATCTTCCTGTGCAGGAAATCCAAGATCATGAGACCAGAATATAAGATCAAGATTTCACAAAGCCTCAAGACTTCTGAGGTAATACAGCTTTCAGCATGTGTTCAGTGCAAGGAGTTATATTTCAGTTGAATAATGTTGGGGTCGTCTGATGGCTCAGGGGCCAAGGTACTTGCGGCCAAGACTGATAACCTGAGTTCAATTCTTGGACCCCACAGACTGGAAAGAGAAAGGACTCCCCAAAGTTGTACTCTGAAATTCATGTGCTTACTGTGGCAGTTGGTTATTGTCCTGAACACCACTAAATAAACAGATAAAATGCTATAATAAAAAAGAAGTGATGAACGATGGTAGCATTGACTATATGGTTATATATGAATATATAATATATGATTTGAAAATTAAAGAATGAATATAATATTGTCTTTTTGGAACTAGGATTAGGACTGCAGACACATTTTTAAGAATGCTTGAGAAAGGAAGTGTAATTGGGAATGGGAGCAGGATAGTATGTGTGTGTCCCGATGCATTTTTTTAGTGGATCCTGTTGTGAATACTGTTACTAACATGGAGGCATCCAGTTACTTGCTGACCATGGGCATCAGGACTTAGAACAGTTATTCCACAAAGAGAGGGATCTTATGATTTCTGTGGACATTTTATCTGAGTAATGAAGCATCAGAAAAATGTGAATATTTAACTGTGTTTTAGTTGTGTGTCTGTGAAAGTATGTGCAGGCGAGTGCCATTGGCTGTGGAGACCAGAGGCATCTCACCCTTCATCCTAGAGTTAGAGATGGTTGTTACTCAACCATGTGGGTTCTGGGACTTGCTCTCCAGTCCACTGGAGGAGTAGCAAATGCTCTTAACCACTGTACCATCTCTCTAGCCCATAAGACAATGTGTTTCCCTTTCTTCCTTCCTCCTCCTCCCTTCCTTCCTTCTTTCCTGAAGTTGATTTTGTGTGCCCACTAGGATACATGAGCCATGGCACTCTAATTCGAAAATCAGTGAGAGTCAGTTCCTTCCCTCTAATGTGTCAGTACTCAGGACAATCAAACTGTCAGGCTTGGTAGCAAACACTTTGATCCACTATTGATGGTCTCCCAAATAAAATTTCTATATTTTTTAATTTTTAAAATCACTTTATCTGTATGGGTTTTTTGTTTTGTTTTTTGACTGCACATATGTCTGTACACCACTTGTGTCCTTGGTGCCTATGGAGGCCACAAGAAGGCCTCAGGTAACCGTGGAACTGGAGTTACAGACAGTTATGAGTCACCATGTGGGTACCAGACATCAGACCTTAGTCCTCTGGAAGAGCAGCCTGCTGAGCCATCTCTCCAGCCCCACCAAAATTAAATTTCTTAAACCTAGGTGATAGGGAGATAGATGGCTTAGTGAGCAAAGTGCTGTTCCAGTATAAGGGCCAGCACCCAGGGGAATCTATCAGCAGCATCTGCAGCCATAACCCTGAGAGTGAGGAGACCAGCTTGCTAGCCTGCCAGTGTGACTGAGAGAGTAAGAGGTCCTGTCTCAAATGCGGTGGATGGAGATCAATAGCAGAGAACTGAAGCCACCCTCCATACACACATACACCATACATCTGTTAATGGGCCTAAAACATCCAGGGCTTTGAAATACCTTCAACCCAGACAGCTTGTATCTGCTCTTTGGTAGCCTACTGGAAAATGTTTAGCCACCAAGAAAGCTAGTTATATTTGCACAAGAATATGTGTAAGAAAAACTTATACTTTGCCTCCTTTATTATTTTTGTTATATTACTATTTGAGAAAAGGTCTCATGTAGTCCCAGGCTAACCTCACATTTTTAAATAGCCAAGGATGACCCAAACCTTTCAGATTTAATAAAGACTTGTAGACAATTTGTTACAGGCTATGGTAATTTGAATGTAATTGGCCCATATAAACTCAAAGAGTGGCACTATTAGGAGATGTGGCTTTGTTGGAGGAAGGTGTGTCGCTGTGGGTGTGGGCTTTGAGGTCTCCTATGTGTATGATACTACTCAGTGTCAGAGCCCACTTCCTGTAGTCTTCTGGTCAAGATGTAGTCAGTACCATGTCTGCCTGAACACCACCATGCTCCCTGCCATGATAATGGACTGGACCTCTGAACTGTAGGCCACCACCTCAATTAAATGTTGCCCTTTATGCCATGATCACATGGTCATACTGTCTCTTCACAGCAAAATAAATGTTAAGACATAGGTATCGTGTTGCTCTACTTTGGAGGTGGGAGAAGTGCCCTCCCATTCTAGACATTTTATACCCTGCAGGACACTAGGACACTCCTTAAAACCTTCCTATACAGGCTATAATCCCTATAAATATCCCCGATTTCTTCCTTTTAGATACAACGAAACTGTCATACTCTGCTGTTGCTTTGAAGCCTGTCCTGGCACTTGTTCTGTAGACCAGGCTGGACTTGACCTCACAGAAATTCGTCTGCCTCTGCCTCCTGAGTGCTGGGACTACAGGCATGTGCCACCAACACCTGGCAAGGAACTTAACATTTCTAGCTTTGTCCCATCAGGAGAGTATATGTTTGTCTACTACAGAATCTGATTGTTAACATTGTTTTATCTTGGAGCAACAAAGTACAAATTTACCTTCATCTATACTAGTGGTTCTCAACCTGTGGGTCACAACCCTTTGGAAAGCCTTGGGAAAACCCAAGTATTTACATTATAGTTCATAACAGCAAAATCACATTTATGAAGAAGTATCAAATAATTTTATAGTTGGGAGTCACTACCACAGGAAGAACTGTATTAAAGGGTCACAGCCTTAGGAAGCTTGAGAACCACTGATCTATCTATATAGATTATTTTTCTATTGTAATAAGCTGGGTTTTGTTTGTATTGTTTTAATTACCTCTAAATTTCTTTAGACTTTTATGGAATCCTAGCCTAGAGACTAGGGGTTAGCAGACTGATTTCTTCAAAAATCAGGTAATTACTCCTTTAAGTTTTTCTAAGTACATCATCTCTTGGCAGCAAAGAAAGTCATGAGCCCTTCTGAATGGAATATAGTGCATGTCCTCCAACAAAACTTCATTTACAAAAGAGGTCAGAGTATTTTGGTCCCTGTTGTAGTTTATTTCTTCTTTCCAACATTTTAACTATCTATCCCTCAGACAAGACCTAACAAAATTGATTTGATGACTTGAAAAACATGAATGTATTTCCCTTAAACAGACATTCAACCCTAAACTTCCCTCTAGCTGCTGTCCTAATAATCGCCCCCTCTCTCTTTCTCTCTCTCATATGCACACAGACCAGAATATGCTCTGAGATCTGTTGGTTTATGCCATACTCTCCTAAATTCAATCCAGTCTGTCTGTGTTTGTGCCTACACATCTCAGTGATAGCTTTCATACTGCTAAATCCTAGGATTTCAATTTTCACATTATTTGAACTTGGCAGTAGTGAAGTAGTCAATGCCATTAATCCCTTGCTCTTTAGAAATTCTCATTTTCCTTCCACTATTGTGGCTGCCACTCCCTTTCCTCCAGACTGTCAGGCAACCAGTAATTACTTGATGCTCTATCCTATGACCTCACTTACCGTGCAATTACTGCACTGCTGGGGATTGAACTCGGGGCCTCAGACATGATAGAGAAGTTCTGCCATGGAGTTATATTCTCAGCCCCATGTAAACTCTTGAGACAGGTTTTCCTCGGTATCCCTAGCAGTTCTTGAACCTTAAAGTTTCTTGCCTCAACCTTTTGGAGTGCTAAGATTATAGGCATGAACCACCACACCTACCTTTTCAAAGACTGCTTTGTACATTTTGGTTTCTTGTTCTTTAATACTGGAGGTTTAATTTATGAACTTAAGAATTTGAGTTGCTCTACCACTGAGCTATACAATTCCAGCTTCAGTGGCATCTGATGGTCCTAGAATAAAAGCAAGACACATTCCTCCAGCTCTCATCTGACTCCTTGTCTTTGTGCTGCCCACCATCATATTACTCCCAACTTTTAACATTTAGGAACTTTATTCTCAAGTTAGAAACCAGAGACAAGCCAGGCATTGGCACACATCTTTATTCCCAGCATTCAGGAAGCAGAGGCTGGCAGATCTCTGTGAGTTCAAAGCTAGCATGGTCTACAGAGCTAGTACCAGGACAGACTCCAAAGCAATACAGAGAAACCTTGTCTCAAAAAGCCAAAAAGAAAAAGAAAGAAATCAGAGACAACTACAACAAACCTTTCAGCCAGGAATATTTTACTTCTATAGGCAAATGTACTTGTTAGTTGATGAATATCCAGACACTTAAGTTGAGTGTTATATTTGCGAGTTTTGTGTCTAAACAAAGAAACAATTAACAAACTGTTGAGTAAAATCTTTGATGCATATCCATCTACAGTTTTGAAGTTCATGTTTTCTGTTATCAATTGTTTACTGTGTTGGGGGGTCAGAACCAAGGGCTTTACACTTGAAACTCGAGGGTCAACCACTGAGTCACATCTCTATCCCGTAGCTTGTGTTTTTAAACACTTGAGAATAATTCTATAACTAAGTACACTTACCTTCTGAAGTGGAGTCCAGTGACCACACCCAGAAACAAAGGATTTACCCATAAATCTCCCTTCCCTTCTGCCAATTCTTGATCATTGTTTCTTTCAAAGACCTTCTTCCTTGATGTCTTTAAAAAGAACACAGAGCGCCAGGCAGTGGTGGCAGATGCCTTTAATCCCAGCACTAGATAAAAGTTTAAGAGGTCAGCCATGGTAGTGGCATACACCTTTAAATCCAAGTACTGGGGAGGCAGAGGAAAACAGATCTCTGTGAGTTCAAGGTTAGCCTGGTCTGCAAAGAAAGTTGAAGGACAGCCAAAAGCTACAGGATTTCAAGGTCATACCTTAGCTACTCAGTGAGCTCAAGGCCTGCCTACTCTATAGGAAACATAAAAGACAGAAAAAGGCTAATCCTGAAACACCATCACACCAATCACAACTTGTGA